GGATGACATATGAATAAAACAGACAGTCAAACTCAAGGTAGCCACAGGCGGTTTCGAACATGGTTCTATACTGTGGTTTTCATAGCACGGATCTGGCAACGACCACTGCCTATTATGACCACTTTCGAATATGCCATTTTAAACATGCACTTAGATGTTCACCTTGTCGATCGAGTTAATCACGTTGAAACGCTCATAAGCAAGCTCCGAGTCGACGGATGATGGCAGTCCTCAGTAAAATCCAGTTGTTCCAGTAAACCACCTTGGAGAAAGAACATGACTGAATTCTTCGCAACAATCTTTAGGCGTTGAGCAAACTATACTGCAAACATGCACGATCGATTGTCAGTTGCTACAGGCTATTCATCTACTACATGTTGACAGCGGATGCAGCGTCGGAACAAATGGGGTTAAGTCAAAATATTTCATTGGTCGCACCGGTCTACACCAAAGCACGGCTCTGTTTCATTTCCTGCTCGTGTTTTTCATGGATAAAGTACTAAGAAGCAGCCGAATGCGATTTGGCCGGCGTGTGAACATGTACGAAGAAATGCGAAAGCTTTCTTGCTGTCCTGTCTATTGTGCTAAAAAATTAACTGAGAGGCAGTGGAACAGGTTCAGAAGATCAACAACTTCAGGGCCTTGTTTACTGATTACGAAAAATGGAAGAAAGAGATCCACCGCGAATCGGAACGGTTAGCGGTGTTCAGCAGAAATTAGCCTGAACCACTGTGATTAAAGGCAGAGCTGTGAATGAATACTAAGATATCTGAGTTCAGGTCGATTTTCACCCCGATACTCACTTACGGTCCCAAGTCGTGAGCCATTGGTGGTGGCTGAAAAATTTTGATTCCCGGTACAAAGGGCAGTATGGGCTTTGTAGCCGATTCGAATCGCTGATCTCACGAATTACTCCAAAGTACATAAGTATCTCCCAAAGGAACTTGATATACAGGCGCTGCATTCTGAGACTAACAAGTCACAGCTGTGGTAGTATGGATACCTGTTGCGAATGTTTCTAGAGAGGAACAGGAAGCAGCTACAACTTGCCAAACGGTAATATAAATGTAGTGAAGGATTTTACCACAAATACGGTTTATCGTCAGCGAAGCTGGCAGAGGATAGAAAACGTTGGAGAAACTGCACGAGGCATCTGTATCGGATACTCAAAATGATAAGCGGTCACTGAAGGTGACTGGTAAGGTGCTTTCCGTACAGAAAGATGACGGAGCAAAGCATCGGGTTCATTTCCGAAATACAGGAATCTTGATTTCCTCCCAGGCAATGAAGCTCTGCCACTCGTAGAGATATCATGGTACCGAATGCATAACGGCCTAAGTCTTGGTTACGTACTCGGTATAGGATCGGACTCAGAACCGAGAGGTCGCGCATTGAAACACCTGCCAGGTCACTCATTCTCCTTTCAAAGTTGATAGATGGGGGCCACTTTGTAGGAAGGAAACAAGAGACTACAGGCTATGCCTACCAGAAAGTTGCAGCTATGACTTTAAACTAAGACACACGTGGCTAATGACACAAAACACAGATCAGCGCGGCAAGAAACAATTAAAGAAAACTGAAAACAGCTCAAAACAGCATCGAAAGCTCCCATTGGAAGCTACCCGAAAACATCAGGGTTGTTTTATATATATTATTTGCCAACGGGCAGTGGCGAATGTATTTGGGTTTGAACATGCTCTTGTTCAATCCAACTAAGAGACGTGGTCATGAGTCTTATGCACAGCAAATGTTTAAATATCACGATGTAATGGCCTGCTTAAATGGTCTTTCTAGGCGATCGGTGCAATACTGCGGGTACTCCTAGTTCTATCCTACACTGCCACAATGCCGGTGTTAAGTAAAAAATGGATTTTTCTTCTTCACACTGTACATTTTCGCCTTTTCAACCCGGTATCATTATTGTTAATGTCATGTAAACTTAAAACATTTCATTCAATAACATTCAGTATATAATGCGCAAATCTCATTTAGCAGAGGAGATATAAGTAAAACCGAAATCTTCAGCAATTTCGTTCAAAGAGTAAAGTTGAAAACTTTCATAACTACTCTGTAATGACGTAGGAGATTGCTCAACAATTATGAGTAGGGGATATTCACATGCGAACGCGCTAAAAAGCAACACTAAGCTGCTAATTTAAAGACAACTTCTCATTCAACCAGCACCATTCAACACATTCAATTGGCAAAGAATAACGTTTATGAATCAATCAATTACTGAATAAGGGAACGAAAGAATGAAGTCCGAGAACCACTGGCGAAATGTGGTCGTCGACCTCTAACAGCCCGCATTTGTAACTACTGTAATGAGTTGATTTTGGCTTATCTGATCACGGGTTGAATGCAAGCCCACGGCTCTATGTCAGCTGTTTGCGGTAGTCACAGTGACTTATACATCCAATATCGTCAGATACTAGACAACCTTGAAGAAAGACGTAAAGACATACTCATGACAGTCTTTTCAAATGCTCCCGCGAACCGACCTTTTCCAGACGTCGCTCAGCAGCGGACGATAGTCAAAACTGAGATGATGCAGACTGCTGACATGTAAACAGGATAATAAGTGACACGTGACTGACACGTGATCAAGCAGATCACTGTCAAGTAATTACAGCGCCACTAAGTAAACAGATAACTTGGTTACAGTAGATTCTTCATGTACTGGCAGCATGGCGAAAAACAGAAATACGCGGATTTATTGTGCACAACGTAAACAACTGGCTTATTGGAAGATAAACCACAGCCAAGTTCCATGTTGGTATCTCATAGATTATTTCTTAAAGTGGGTGATGTTGGGCTGATCTGTCTTTTACACTAACCGAGTCGTTGCTTTAAAACGCAATGCTACCTCAGTCGTTAGATTTTAGACCACCAAAACCTCGATTTATCGGTTGTGCTTGAACGAAGTTATTCTACTCATCCATGGATAGCTTTGTCGGCCAAATCAAAAAAAGCTGTTGTGCCCCGACAGTACGATGTCAAAGCGAAGTGCGTTCACCAGCCTAGTTCGCTGCCCTCAATTTTGAATCAGCAAATCGCCACAGTTATAAAGTTTAAAAGGGTCCAGAATCAAAAACGTCAATTCATCAATCTAACAGAGCTACAACAAAGGCCAGCAAACATCTACTTTCAGCGTGTTAAAATTAAATCTATAGAGAAGTAACTTACAGCTAATTAAAACGGATGAAGTTACCAGTAGTCGACCATGATGTAACCGAGGTGGCTGATGATTTCAATATCAAAAGACGCGAGATTCAGTCTATCAGAAAAAGCCGCCTGAGATGGTGACAGCAATGACTTCAAAAAAAGGTCGTTCTTATTTTAATATCAAAGCATCGTCAGACAGTCCAACTACTCACCCGAAATCTCAAGCGATAACTGTGATTAACAGATGTGGAATCATGGCAATAACGTAAGTCACTTGACAGACCTTTCGTGTGATTCATTACAAAGGAAGTCAAGCTATATCTACTAGGATAAACAGTGACTAAATATTAGCTCTGTAAAGGTTTTCACGACAGTAACGCTGACGCAAAAAATCGTAAGCATTCTGTATTATTGAAACGGGACTAAAGGTGATGTTGATAAAACTCCATGGCATAGTAATGGCGAAAATGGGCAATCAAAAAACAAAGAAATGCTTAGAAAAAGGCTAGTACAAAGTGTTACGCAGAACATGCAGAATGATGCGGCCACAGACGTAGACAGTTAGACCATTTGAAGCTTCTTGAAACGGCCTTGGATAAAGATCTACATCTAGAAGAGAGCGGCTGTTGCACTGGAGCAGTGAATCTCGAATAGTGACGAAGAGTATTACAGTATCTTCTGTCCCGAAATGTTACGAAGCTAGCATCGACAGCTTCTAAAAACGCTCAAGGATATGGTAGTATTGCAGAGCGAGGGACGAACAGAAGCTGGTAATGGCTAACTTTTGGGTGGGTGCGGAAGATAGATCGGTGGGAACCGCAAGACAGTTTTATTATGGCTTTACTGAACTTGACTACGATGAATGGTGGTGAATGTACAGGAAAGCGAACGGCTGACAACAGATTTCAAAACCCACGAAGGTTCACAAAACGAGTAACCAAATAAACCTGGGGAGGCTTGGAAGATGGTGAAGTGAAACAGTTAGTGAATGAAGTTTCACTCAGATTAAACCAAGTCTCAGTCAAGTGTTATATATCAAGGCGGCATTCGGTTGCTCAAAACAATCATACCCGCCAAGGCGTCATCTTGCAGAAGCTCCATATCGCGATTTAACAAATAAATCTTTAT